CCGTTCAACATCTCAGCGAGGAGAGAGACAAAGGATCGTCAAGTTACTGCCGAAGCCACGCACGAACCTGACTACGCCTTTTAACGTAGGCTGCATGAAACGAATATAGGAAGAAATGGGAGTCAGATGAGTTTTTTTTCTAAATACCTAGACAACTTCGCTGTTGATATAAACACCAGTTACCTACATTTATTTGCAGAATGGGCTACTTAATGTTCACCGCAGCGAGCTGTAGCCATACGAAATGCTTAACCTTAAACAAAGCGCTGACTAGATTAAATCAGCTTTCTCTAGATTCAAAATCGAAGGACTGTTTAGAATCCGATGTGATCGTGCGATAGACGTAATGTCATGCGAAAGATGCTTAATGACAATCTATGGGTAGCCGTCAATCTGCGGGGAGATTTGGGAAAGTTCACGACACGAGGCCTTAACAATAGTCAGATCATTCCACACTTTAAAGCGCACAATTTTTCGAGCTTTTTTTGTTTGTTAAAGTTGTAATTTGCTATATTACGTCGTTTTCTAAAAGAAATGTCTGTATTATTCCTGCACTTATTGGATTGTTGCGCTAAAATTATTATTTAACGTCCTACTTACTTTAAGTCTTCAATGACATTCTTGGCAGTTTGTTGGCATCTCATCTTCATTTTGCGCTTCTTTAACCTCAGTAGCCAAATTCTTTCTAACAATTTAATGAAAATAACAAGAGGGGAAAGTTGTTAAAGGCGCCGTGAAATATACGTATTATCGCTGGTTCACCCTCGCATGGGTCAACCTAACCCCGCAACTCTTCGGTGTTAACAAATTGCTTCCAGATTTGCCATTGAAAAATCTCTCTCCAATCCGTGAAGGCAGCGAGTGCCTGCTGTGAAGGCCTGAAAGCGCTCCCGAAGAGCTACGCCGTGATTCCAAAGAGAATTCAATCCATCAGTATTCAGTAGCATTCATGGGCAAAAGAGAGTCTTCAAGTAGCACCCGAACTGGCAAGCACGTCAAAATTACTTAGTTGATGACGGATGCACGACGGCAAATCGAATGAAAGAATTGTTGACATCGTTGCCTTGTGTGAAAATGAGTCATATACTTATTTGCTTATATACTTAGATAAACGCCTTCGTAAGTGGTTCCGTGATTTGTTTTTGGCCTCAACATAATTTACCTTCGTTTCTTTCTCGCGCAATCAATATCCGTAGTAGTGGTTTGATTCCAGCGTAGCGGCGTCCTCGAGTTTGGAGTTGATGTCTGTGGCCACAAATTTATGATATGATTTATCATTGCAGATAATCTCCTTTGACTGATAGTAGAACTCATCTAATTCGTGCTTATCAGTTGCATCGGTCGGTGAGAAGCAACTGATGATAATGATCTTCTCATTGGTTGAACATGTGAATCAACAAGGTAATGGACGGGTGGGCGACAACTGCTACACCACCTCTTAACGGGGACTTTTTTCGACGTATGTAAAGAGTCCTGTCGTTTAATTGACATGAATCGGTCTTTCCGACTTTTGTTACTTGTAGGACGATCACATGGAATTCGATGTAATATGTGGCTTCAAGAATCCCCTAGAGATGAGCGTCTTAGGAGGATGCTATGGTATTATATATTATTATAGCATTATTATAGGCAAGACCTAGTTTCAGTGGCGTCCTACGCAATCCGAAATGCTGTGGTCTCTCACTGTTCGTCTCATCCTTTACGTCCTAAGCGAGTGAACCTGGTGTGCATGGTACTATGGCTGACCTATTATTCCTGGTTGAGCACTTCGTTCTTCCCTAATCTTCTGAACTAAACCTTCTTAGGGCGCTTTCAGATCTTCACTATGATGCGGATTCGAGGAAAGTATTTGTTCGGCAGTGTTTCATTCGATCGGTGTCTTACTATGTCGATTCAGAAGCGATATTTAAACCGAAATGAAGAATCACGACAGGTGTGAAAGGTTGAGTGACCACTTAAGGGTGATATTGAAACCAAAACTCATATAAATGAAATTGAGGTAAAATTATGAAGCTTTCTTCTATCTGAACCATATTTGTCTGCCAACAAACACCTAGTTAGTGATTTTTGCTAATCTGCTTGTGACCTTCGAAATCAGGGTTACCTGTTGCTTTGACGAACAGCTCACATATTCCTCGTTCACGATTGAAGATCGGTGACTTTGTCGTTCACTCCAAGGTATCAGAAATAAAACGGCCTAGGCACGGGATGCATCTTAATGACATCTAGTGGAGAGAATCCGTCGGCAATTCAGTCCCACGCGATACCAAATCTCCAACAGAAACACCACTCGACTAAATTGTCAGATATCTTCGCAAAGATCATAGGAGAAATATGTTGTTTTTTAGAGACCATTCGTACGATCGAATCCACTGCTTCACTCTTACGGGTGACAGTGATAATTCTGGCCTTAGCTGGCACCCAGCTGGGATGGACGACTAACAATAGGAGGACGAAAGTTGTTGCATGTGGTGGTTGTTTAAGATAGATATCCTTATGCCTATCTTATTACAATAGAATAGCTGCTTTCTGCAGTAAGGAATAAAGGATGTGAGTATGCGACATGCATTCCACTCAATTCGTATCATCAAAAAGATTATTGAATGTAATTTTTATAAATTTCTTTGGACCGTTTGGCTTATAAAATTTTATAAAGTTCATAAATTTTGCACGCATATTTGCTTAAAGGGGCTTACCAATATTTCTCTTGCCTCTCACAAGTTTGGCATCAATTTTTAGACTCCGGAGGGATTGAGACCTACCCAAACTCTTGGAGCAATGTCAATCCAAAGAGCATGCGAGTATTACAAGACGCCTCCAATTACTGCGCTACACCAAAACTAATTTTTCATTGATTTGTTTTGCGACGAAATATGTTACTGATTATGACGGGTGATTGCTGATTGCAAAAGATCAATAGAACTAGCTGAGAGACAGGCAAAACGAAGGACCCAGATGGTGTGGTGGTGAAGTGCGCTGCTCCCCGGAAAAGAGAATAGCGCGTTCGTTCCCGATCGCATACACCTGCGGTCCGGTATAATAGATTCTTTCCGGACATCAAAAATCGCAAAAACATCACATGCTCGTTGTTCTGTTATTTTGTACTCATATTGAATTATGCGATTATGCATATTGTTTTATGGGATGAGGGGAGGTCGACTATGTCCCGCGTCTGCCTAAAGATCACATCTGAACAAAATAACACTCCATTCCGGTGGTGAACTCTGAACTCCAGAAATATTTGAAGTTTTTCAGTTTGTGAACGATTTCAGTTGACGTCACAACCAACTGAAGGTTCCGTTGACTTCACAGTCAACTGGTGGTTACCTTGAATTCGGGAACTTCAGGAAGAGTCTGCATAGAGCCTCTGCCATCCCGAACCATTGAAATACACAAACATCCATCCATTTTCTAATGAGTTATCTGTTGGTTTAATGGAAGTACACATGGTTGTTTTTCATTTCGGATTTATTTTTACCTGCCCGTTTCCTCCTTTGGTTGAGTTTTTCCAAACATTTTGAGTTTTTAACCAGCAAAATATTCTCCAACATTTTATTTATGTTGTCGAACTTAAGTTGACAACGTTAAGGGTTTGCTTTAATACTTTTACACAAATTTTCCAGATGATCTCAGTGAATTCCGACTCGTCTACAGCCTCATGGTAGCTGAGATTTGAAAGTCTCATTATCCAGTAAGACACTCCAAATTGAGAAAGAGTTCTATTCGTGAGGCCAGCCAAAACAATAAGCCAGTGCTAGGAATCGCCACCGTTTTTGCAGCAATTTAGTCACAACATGAAAATGCTCTCATGAAATCCACCGGCTGCTTGTGGTGACGACTTGGGGCAGTCTTAGCATGGGCGCCTTGAGACTGCTGCCTAGCCAACAGATTACTAATCATATGAAATTATAATCGTGTTTAGTGCAATGGTAAGAGGCGCTTAGTAACCAACGAAGGTTCTGCTTTCAATTGAGCTCGCTAGACAAACCAATCCTTTCATTCTTGAGGTCAGCAAAATGGTAACAAACCAGGCTGAGAAATAGAAAACCATCTACATTGATAAGCCCACACAACTTGTTGTATAGACCAAGAGCACATTTAGCTCTAGAATGCGTGAATGGTTCGAATTCATGGCGCATCTGTCAGCAAACTTATGAACAACGTGCGCTTCGTCCTTCACAGAAATGGTGCCGAAGTCCAGGCGATTCCTGTTGAAGACATTTGAGTCCACGTTCAAAAATTCCAACGAACATTTTCTGAAATCTGACTGAAGGGAAAAATCAAAACATTTCATTAATTTTTTTCCACCGTGCTGAAGTGCTTCTGCAGTGAACGTCAGTTCCGATCTCGTTGATCTGTATGTTGGGCTTAGAACTCGCCACTCTACCATTGTGTCACCGTCGGTGGTTTGATTGATCTATTCGCTTGTTATTCTCTGGGACCATTTGTTTTCAACCGAGTTCGAGCTCTCAAAAGTTCAAACTTCTCGCGCTCATGTACCTTAAACTCCACCCACAACATTGACCTGCTATCGTCACGCACTCATTCCATGGATTCTGCTGGCATTGTTCGTCGCTCTCCACAAGTGTCCACATCAATTTGTCTTTCTTTCTCGTTTACAAATAAGTAACTATATGAATATACTTATGAATGAGTAATCCGTACCGTATAAAAGATGAATCACTTTCAGATGATTCGTTTTAGATCATATTTGAGTGGATCACTTGGTTATCTAAGGTCGGTCATTCTTTTCCATAAATGAAGTCTGTCTTGTTTCAGTTTTTCTGCCTTTCAAATAACACCCTTCTCTTTTTCTCCGACCTTTTTCCTCGATGTGTCTCCCCTCTCCATCACCTCTCCCTTTTTCTGGCTGTCTTCCTCTTTTTCACTCTCGCTCACCGTCTCTCTCACTCTGAAAACCATCTAAAAATATTGTTGAGTTATTGAAAGACAAAATTACGAAAGTGTTTGACCAGAGTCGAAGCCGATAGCCAACGGCGATGGGAACCAAGATCCTTCCCGATATCTGCTTTTCGCCGGCGCCGTCGACTTTTGATCGTCCGTTCCGCATTCACGTGCAAAATCGTACGTTTCTAATCGACGCCGAATGTATGAGAAAAATCTCTCCGGTTAGTTCGTGGTTCTTATTTCAGTTTTTTTTTTACTATAGAACAATTTCTTCCACTCTAAAGTGCTTACGACTACTTTAGGTTTTCTCAGCGATGTGTTACGGAAAGGATTTCGAAGGAGGTCGAGAATTATCCAGAGATATTGTGGATGAGAAATGTGATGACATTGACACCTTTCTGCGTGCTGTTCATGTTGCAAACGTTATCAACGGTTAGTTTTAACTAGCAACAACCTTCTTGTTTTTCACCCACTATCCTTTAATAGCACTTCGAATTCTTATCGAATTAGGTATTGGTTCTATCTAAATACTTCTTATTTCAAAAATAGGAAAAAAATCGATTGTCACGCGCCATTCTGGCTGTCTTTTCTTCAGCTCTTCTTTATTTTCTAGCAAGTCTGACTTTAAGAAGTTTTTCTTCCACTAAATTTTAAATTACTAGTGATTTCCAATAATATCAAACATATCTGAGAGGCAATGATGGAGTTATTTTTTGAATTTGTCGATAGATATCTACCAGAAGGGCGCGTGTGGCGTAGTGGTCGGAGGCGCCCTTCAACACACACGTGGAATCGATCCTTGCGCCCATGGTCTACCAAGCTATTCGTCCCTCCGGGGTTGCCAAATTCGTACCAGACTTGTCTGCGAGGATAGCAGCATTGGCTCGATACATCAATAGGCCACCACGAGTCATTGTTTGTAAAGCCCAGATATGCATTCAATCACCTCTAAACGATGCTTGATGAAGTCAAATGTATGGCGCATCCCTCAGCGATTGATCAACGCTGAGAGCTCTATCCTTAAGCCTTTTATCCATCCGAATAATCCTAATATACTCGGTTATCCCAATACATGAGATTACTCGTTGTTCAAATGCGACGGCTGGACTGACCGTTTAAATGCTTTATCAATTTGTTTTGAAATGAATTCTGTTATTCCCATGACCGACTTTCTGTTAACCTCGGCATTAATTGATAATTCAATGTTTTTCATCAATAAGCAGACACGAGG